AAAAAAAAAAACACACAAAAATCAAGGTGTTACTCATGAGGCTGAGATCTGAGGATCATAGTTCAAAGCCATCCTGGGCAGGAAAGTCCATGAGACCCTTAGCTCCAATAAACCACCAGAAAACCAGAAGTGGCTCTGTGGCTCAAGTGGTAAAGTGCTAGCCTTGAACTGAAGAGCTGAGGGATAACGCCCAGGCTCAGAGTTCAAGCTCCACAATGGACAAAAAAAAAAAAAAAAAGCAACACATGAACCTGCATTGGATCCTGAAATGGGGTTGGGACATATAAGTGACATTACTAGAACAACTGGAGAAACTATATAGGGAAAACCCTCAACTTATGCTTTAGGATTATTCAAACTTTCAATGGTACAAACGCAATACCCATATAACTAGTCTTGTTTTCACTTCCAGTCCAATATTCAATAAGTTACATGAGAAATTCAACACTTTATTATAAAATAAGGCTTGTAGATGTCTTTTCCTAACTGTAGACTAAGTGTTCTGAGCACATCTGAGGTAGTTTAGGCTAAGTTACAAAGCTAATAAGTAATGGTATGCACTCTGGGGCTTGAACTCAGCTGACACTGCATGCTGTCACTGAGCTTTTGTGTTCAAGGCTAGCACTCTATCGCTTGAGAAACAGTCACACTTCTGGCTTCTTTTTTGTGATTAATTGGAAATAAGAGTTTGATGGACCTTCCTGTCTGGGCTGGCTTTGAACTGTGATCCTCATATCTTAGCCACCTGAGTACTAAGGATTACAGGTGCAAGCCACAGGCATCTGGCTACACACACCTGCACATGTGCTAGTACTAGGACTTAAACTCGGGGTCTTATATTCTCTCTTGGCTTTTTTCGCTCAAGGCTAGTGCTCTACTACTTGAGCCACAGCCCTACCTCCAGCTTTTTTTTCTGGTTAATTGGAGATAAAGAGTCTCACAGACTTTTCTACCCAGTCTGGTTTGAACCACAATCCTCAGACCCCAGCCTTCTGAGTAGCTAGGATAATAGGCATAAGCCACCAGGGCCCAGCTATATTAGTGTAGTTTAATGTCAGTGTTAAATTCTTTTACCTTTTTAATTTTGAGTAACATTAACTGTACTGTTAAATAAATTTATTTATTTATTTATTTTAGCTGATCTTGGGGCTTGAATTCTGGGCCTGTGCTCTGTCCCTGGGCTCCTTTGCTCAAGGCTAGCACTCTACCACAGTACCATTTCCAGCTTTTAAAAAAATGTGATTATACTTACTGCCAGCCCTATACTCCATAACTTCAGTCCTGTTAGACTGCAGCTGCACCTTGCAATCATGAAGTTCTCCTGACTTTTGTTGTCCTTATGAAAATTTACCAGATCACATATTACCCAATCATCTTTTCATAAGTACATCCTTACTTCATAGATACACTGGTCCTAGTCTTTTGATAGCTGAACACATCTCAGCTTTGTGTTGGAATTTTTGGTGACTTTATGTGTCTCTAGTTTTGAACTTTAACTAGAAATGGGTTGGATATAATCTGAATCAAAGGCAAAAAATGAAATACATAACCTACAATTAAGATGCGTAAGGGAGGGCTGGAAAGGTGG